TGTTTTAATGTTTGTAAAATGAGGAGAACCCAAAAGACAAATGGCTCTACCGGTATACAAAACGATACATTCTTGCTTTTATTGCATCATCATTTTTTGTATTATCATTTGCTTATAGAATGTGATCTAATACACCTTTCTTCTATATTTTGCGAGGCACCCTTTGGAGAGTAAAAGATAAGGAGTACTGGAGCATTCAGAGATGGAGCATGGACAATCAGATCCGAGCATCAGTAGCCCCTATTCAGTCTGGTAGGGGCGCTACGGGCGAAACCACCGGGTCATAGCCCCCGGTAATGTCAGTTTCCTTGAAAACTTAAAAAAACCTGTAGGGGCCTTAATGATTGCATACTCCCTACCCCTTAGGACCCTGCAGAAACTTCATTTTATAACTATGATTGCTTTTTCTATTCTAGATCCTTTAACCTTTTGACATATATACGAAAGTTCTAAGGGTTAGAAAACAAACCACTTTTAGTCCTAAAACTTTAGTGACACTTAAGGACAACAAAATTAAGGATTGAGTCTTAGATAATATAGACTTAGGGTGTATGCTTCCTATAGGATAGATACATCAAAACAAAAACTTAATGACATATTTTCCTAGGTTTAGTTTTCTTTAATCTATTAATAGTCAATCAATCAATTATAATCTAACTCTTAAAATGTGTTGAAAAATACTCAATTCTTAATTAAGCTATTAATAACATTTATAATCATTAAATTGCAAATCTAAAATATAAATCTAAATCAAATATAACTAATCTAATAATCAGCTCCTAACTAACTTAAAATTTAAATGATGTAGATCTAATTAGGAGATCAAAATTATAAAATAAAATTCATTAGGATAAAAGACTTCTAAATATCAAACCTTAGACCAATCTTTAAAATCAATCAACGAACTTGATTAATAAATTGTTTAACTCACATTTTCTTTTTTATTTTCATAACAAATTAAAATAATTCAACAAAGTTGATTATCACTAGGTAACTCATGCCTACGAGACTATTAAGTTAGCCCCAATGATGGTGAAATAAACCTCACGGCCTCGGTGTGAAATAAATGTGATAATCAATCAAACACTAAAATAAAAATCTCTAAAATCAATCCTAAAATATTAATATTTAAACTTCAACTAAAATCTCTCTTTTGCCCCTTTTTAACAAATCAAATGAAAGCAACTATAATTAAACTATCCCATATATAATCTATCCAAAACTACACAGCTTACACACACGTAGACATGTTTGTTAGGACACGACTACTAGCTTTAGGTTAGGCCGATATTTTCTTTACTTTCTATCTTTGTGTTGTGGCGACTTGCATGTGACCTGTGTGCTGTTTGTTTTTCTACTTGCTTTAGTTTTGTGTGATGCTTTTTTGTGATGAGTTTTAGTTCTTTTTTGCTGCATTATAAGCGATAGAATACCCATAGGCTATGAACGCTTTTTATACCAATATTATCTTCTTGCAGATGGCTGTGCTCATACAGTGTTAAAAGGGGGGCTAAAATTAATAATAAAATGTATAACTACTACAGGTGCTTCAGCTGCTTATCCCCCAAATAATTAGAGCACGGCCAAGTGTGGCTAATTTTGAGTAATTTCATTTCATATATAACTGCTTGGATGATCTTTCTTTGATTATAACTTCTTAGGATAACCCCTACAGGAGAGTCTAGATTTTCATTTTTGCTGATGTAATGTATTTGATGGTGAGAGTTATGAAAGTCTTTAAAATAAGACATTTTAAATGTAAAGGGGTCCCAAGGGAAAAAGAAAACCCCTTATAGGGAGTTTCCTTTTTTCATTTGGACATCTTTTTGAAGAATTCACTATAAGGAGCCTAAAGGAATGAAGATGATCCATAGACGAATCAAGGAAGTGAAGAAGAAGAGCAAGATATAAAATATCTTATTTTAAGATTTGCGTCGTTCCCAGGTTGTTGTCGGTGTAGCCCGGCCACCACTACTTTTTTTATACTATGTGGTGTAATATTGTATGGCACTTGCCATGGACTTTGGACACTCTTTTTCATGGTTTTTGTTATTTTATTGTGGTTTGTTTACTTTGTTTGTGCATTAAAATTGGCATGCTTTTTATAGGTTTCTTTTTTGCATGTGCATGTGCCTGACTCGCTAGGCTCTTCTAGAGATAAAACTCTTCTACTCGTAATCAATAATAAAATTTTAAGAATTAAGCAACATAGAAACATAATGATTTAGGGAATAGCCGGAATAGTCCGGGGTCGCACGCATGCATTCTCTCTCTTCCTTCTTTAGACACTTCCCCACCTACGGGTAAAGTCCGGATAATCTAGATTATAAGGATGAAGTGCCGGACCGAGGGAAGCTTAGTCTTTCTAAAAAATTATTTTATAAGCCTTTTTAAAATTTCATATATTTCTGATTTGGAGACTTTAACTAGCATAAACTGCATCAATAACCAATTAAAACTAAAATTTAATTGCATTAGTTTTAGGAGCATAGTACCATTCATAAGTGTGGGATCACTTAGAAACTTCTCTAGTTGTCGATCCCAAATTCTAAAGTTTAACTACCCACCCATCTTTCATATGGACTGGATATCATAGATTTTATATGATTAGGTGGTTTTAGCTGGTTTCCTTTTTCAGGCAAGGAGTAAGTCCATGTTTGTATTAGTTAAGTCGTAGATGTTAATATTGTATGTATGATATTATATCTTTTATAAATTTAGGATCTAAGGCTAGTGGTACAAGTGCACCACTGTACGCCTTATCGGTGGGTAAGCTTTCTTTTCTTTTAGAAGCTATAAATCTTACTCATCCGCGTCACATGGATGACGGCAACTCCCTCTTTCTCTCACGTATGCTTGATATGCATTGTCTTTTCTTTTTCTCCAGTTTTTCCTTCCTCAGACCGACCGAATGATGATTGAACCACGTATGGCTGAGTAAGCCAAATTGAGCCTATCTTCCCCTTTGATTAGGAAAGCCTAGAATATTTCCTTTGCACTAAACCCATTCGAGAGAATAATGTAACATCCCTAATCGAGAGTTTTTTTAGATTGAGGTCTAAGATGTAATTAACTACGAGGGCTTGCGCCCATAGGAAACTGATCCACACAATCAAATAAATCTCATTTGAGCTGATGTATCGAATGAGAAAAATCTCGTGAAATTTTGGATTATATATATTATTATCCAACGAAGTGTGTAGGCGAAAGTCGCTATCTTCCATGACTAATCGTATGTATAACTCGATCTGCTCTTCCACCGGCCTGCTTATGTCTAGTGTAAAGGCCTACAATCATTTTGTCCTTCGGGATAGTGTGGTCATACCCTTTGCATTCGAACCTCATAAGCAGAATATTTTTGGAGACCCACAGATAATTATTGAAGTATATCATATGATAACTATTTAAGAAAAGCAAAGAAAAAGATCAACCACTTGTGCTTTGTCATAAATGGATATTTCATGTTCAAATCATTCTCTACTTTTTGAAAAAAAAAAAAAAGATTTAGGCTTCATTTGGAGTGGCTTTTTTCTGTTTCTTAAAGCGATTTTCTAATACAAAAATTTAAATTATTATACTGAAAAATCGCTTTAAGAATCAGTAAGAAAGCGATCCCAAATGAAACTTTAGGCTTCATTTGTGACAGCTTTCTTACTACTTTTTAAAGCAGCTTTTTAATACAAAAAATTTTAGTTAAAAAATTTTTTTGCACTAGAAAGTTTTTTAGAAAGCAGTAAAAAAGTTGCCCCAAATGAAGCCTTAATTTTGCTTGCTTTTAAAAAAAATAAAAAATATGTTTGATTTATCCATTTTAATTGTATTTCAAAATTGCACACCAATTTAATCATCCTCTCTCCTATTGAGGCTTCGTTTGTTTCTCCTTAATTATGTTGTTTTCAGTTTAAATCGACGAAAACAGTTACTGTGTGCTGTTTGTCAGCACGCCTTTTTGCAGAATCTCTTTTCCTATATCTATGTAATATTGCCGATCTCAAAAATCTACTCATTAAACAATAAAGAAACACATTTACGAGTATATAAGTAAACAAACAAGCCAATATTCTAACTTTTTCATTTACAAGACAATATTTTTAAATTTTGTCCAATAAATCTTTTCAAAACGAATATGAAATTATTCATCAAGTGCGATAATTCACATAAGACTCATTTATATCATTAGATTTTAAAATTTTATGCAAAAATTTTCAATTATGTAAATAAGAAAATTGATAATAACAAACATCGAATTATTTATAAAATGCACTAATTCATATGAGACTCATCTATGTTCATTTATATGACAAGTTTTATAAATATAATAAGCAAAAACAAGCCTTACACAAACCCTAAATCAAACCATTCATCCAATGCTATAATTCACTTACAACCTCAATAAAAAAAAGAAAAAATGATTAGATTCAATACTATTAAACCCAAAAATAATCTTATAAGAGAAGCTGAAACAAGAGAGAGAGCTCCATCTCTTTCTATTAAATCATGAATATTTACTCTTAGGCTTCATTTGAAAGTGCTTTAGATTATTGATTTTTCACTATTTTAAAAAAAAATTGTACTAAAAAATCTACTTCATAAAGCAAAAAAAAAAAATTATCCCAAATGAAACCGATTTTCTTATTATTTTATAAAGCAATTTTTTATTACAAAATTTTTTTGTACCATAAAATTTTGTACTAGAAAGTTATTTTAATAAATAATAAGAAAGTCATCTCAGCTTCATTTGGGACAGCTTCTTTATTATTTTCTAAATTAATTTTCTAGTATAAAATTTTAGTACTAAAAAATTACTTTAAAAAACAATAAGTAAACAAAACCTTAATCTGGCCTCCATTCAATTTCTTCACCATTTTTATTTCTTCTATCCCAATTTCTTCAAACCAATTAACCAAACAAAGCTTAAATTCTACAATTCTTTCCCTTGTAACTCGAGAACTCATAAAAGCAAAAAAAAAAAAAAAAAAAAAAAAAAAAAAAAAAAAAAAAAAAGGAAAAAAATACAGCCAGATTCATATTTCACCAAAAAAAACACCCATCTTCTGTACAATCATACAGAAATTACCAATAAAAAAAAAATTTACAGAAATCTGCCTATCAGATCCACCTAGCGGCAACTCCGCCGCGGCAGATCGGACAAACCTTAGATCTCTCCAGCCACCGATCAACACAAATCCGATGAAACAAATGCTTACAACCCGGAAGAACCCTACACCAATCCCCTTCCCTAAACCCTTCCAAGCACACCACGCAGTCGTCGGAGACCAACTCGGCGGATCTGAAACAGGGGAGGCAGCGAATCTCTTCTCGCGAAAGGCCGCGCCTTTCGATTTCTGGTTGTTGGAAGAAGCGGCGGCGGCGACGGTGGCGGAGGAATTTGCCGGCTATGCATAGGAGGATGAGTATGAAGACGGCGATGCCGGCGAAGAGGAAGAAGAAGGAGAGGACTATGTGCATCACGATGAACCTGAGGATGATGGAGAGGAGGCGGGCGCCGCCTTTGGGTTTCGCCGCCGGCGCATGGACGGCCGTCGTGGGGTGGCGGCGGTTGTCGAGAGACATGGAGTCGTTCAAGTCTTCTTCATTGGGCATGGTGCGGGAAGAGAGAGAGAAAGGAAGAAGTGAAGGGGTCAAAGGTGGGATTTTTGGGTTTGTTGTTTGGAATATAAGGGGAGTTGTAATGAAAGGTGGCACCCATTGTTTTAGCTTGGGCAGAAAAATAGGTCGTGAAGAATCTAAATTTAGCCAGTTTTTTTTTTTTTTCTTTGTTCAATTGGAGTATAATTGGGCAAAAGCCCAAAATAGTTTTACTAAATTTTTTTGGGAAATTTTTTACTATATAAGTCTTATAATAAACTCTCTTGTTATTTATTTTTGAAAAAAAATACTCAAAATGTGATTGTATATTGAAGTATGTCATGAATAAATATTGAGAGAATTAGAATGAGGTTTGAGCAAGTTTCAATTTAGATTCTATCTAATATTATTCACGTCTTGTTTGAATCTAAGTTTAATTTGATCGAACATGATCAATTTTATTTGAACCTTTCTTCACACGTGCTAGTCTGCGATACGTTACTTAGCTAGCCAATTGCGCACCACGAAATATTGAAGGTCGTTGATATGTTAACACTCCTCTTCTTCTCACATGTTATTGGTCTTGTTAGGCCCCTTGACCCCACGACCGATCTTGAAAGAGGCTGCTGCCCCTTTGAACCACCAAAAATTACTTATGAGTTATATCCGCCCCCTATTCATACTTATCTCAAAATCTAATCCGATAATGCCTGATCCAAAGAGCTTTGTTGACCCAAGTTCAATTTTGATTTGAATTATATGTTAATTAGAACCTTTTCAAATCAATTTCTATTGAAGCAAGCTTCAATAAGCAATTCATAAATACAATAGAGATTATTTCATCTGAATACTTTCTCGAATATAAATTATGAGTATATTTCAGTAATTACATATAAAGTCAAATTTCTCTTTTTCAGGATATTATTTAAAATCACAGATGTATTTTAAAATAAATAAACTACAGTATTAATCAATTAAGAATTATATTAAATAATTAAATTTATTATTCCCAAGAAAATTTGTCAGAATACCATCACTTTTTTTCAATTTTTTATTTCGATTACATCTCCTTAGATTATAATAAAAAACAACAATATATTATTTTCTAACAAAAATTAAACTTTGATATTTAACTATTTTAAGAAAATCTTTTATTTATATAATTTTGGTAATATTTAAAGGCTATCAAAACTGCCAAAACAATCAAAACGTCGAAATCCCATAATAAGTTCAAAATCTCAATCAAAATAGTTTTGTATTTTTTATTTACAATTTAATTAAAAACTCTACCAAACAATATAATATTTATGTTTTTTAAAAATTAGTTGATCAAATATTTAATTTTTTAATTAAAAAAATTTAAAGAAAGCTAAGCAACGGAATCTGAATAATTTGATATTTTCTTTAAAAAAATAATTCTTTATAAATTCTAAAAAAATAAATGATTCAATTATATAATTTTTATGTAGTATTTTATTTTATTCAGTATTTTACTAATGTGAAACGTGTATATACGTGAAAAGGTTGGAGTAGCTCCAATGGCTGATAAGTTTCGAGAGAGTCGTCTTAAATGGTTTGGTAACTTAAAATATAAGTCGTCTGATAACCCTTTTTGGAGCACAGATGTATTAGATCCGACATACATTAAAAAAATGTAGAGATAGATAGAAAAAGACTTAGAAAGTAATAAAAATAACATTTTTATTAAGTTTCTATGAGAATTTGACTCTTAACATAACACAAGAGAAATAGAATTCATGAAGCAGATCTCAAGTAGTGTCATGAAGCAGATCTCAAGTAGTGGAGAATTATTCTGTATGGATTCCAGACGTACCTCTATGTCTAAACTCCAATTAAATGAAAACACGTGATTTTTTTTTTCACTCGTACACATAGTGTGTATAACTTGTATACATGATGTTTATAATTTCCTCTTATACACATCCTATGTACAAGTAAAAAAAATTCGCATGTCATCATTTAATTGGAGTACAGAGCTACATCTGAACTCTTGCATAGAATGAATTCTCCATAAAGGATTATTATTTTTTTTTACTTTTAACAAATCAAACAGCCCCTACAATATAAAAGAAAATCCAAATCTTAAATAAGTTTAAATAACTAAAATAAGTAAGAAAACGGACAAGACCAAATTCGTTTACACTAACGTGTTCCAACACAACTCTCTTTGGCCTATTGGTTGAGAGCTTAGGCTTCCAACTAAGAGGTTCAGGGTTCGAGTCTATGTGTATGCGTAGTGTGTGTGAGTTTGCCTTATATGACCTAAATGTCCCAAAAAAAACTAACGTGTTCCAGCGGAAGAGTACATCATATCAGCATCGGGGAGGGCTCCATCTCCCTACGAATCAATATATGCGAACACCCGCATATACTTCTAATTAGCGCTCCTGAACACGGTTTTGGGCTTACTGCGGGCTGGGTCACTTTTAGTGTGGAGCTATCTATAATATAAAAATATCATTATTTTTGGAATCTTTTAATGGGTGATATGGACCAAATTTGAATGTCACCATACCGAGGTTCTATCCTTCGGTGGGAATCAGCAACAATGAATATAAAATTTATGCGGTGGGATAGATTAAAATTAGTTTAAAAAAAAACTAAATAATTAAATAAAATTGGTAAAGTTAAGGGTGGTTCATGTTAATATAGAATTTATTGAAGGAGATCCTATGGTAACTTCTAAAAATGAGTTAAAAGAGGGCATAAAAGAAAAGATTTTGCCTTTTTAATTTCGATTTTTCGAAAAGGTTTTCTGAGAGTATGGAAATTTCATTGAAATGATTTTTGAGTTAGTCGATAGGGCAAGTGAGTAAAGATGATTTTTATAAATTTGATGTCTTTAAAGCAAGCATATTAAGGAATAGGAGTATAAAATGCCTCTATTAATCTTGAAGTCTGGAAGATCAAATCTGAAAAGTTTAGGGTTTTTAGGGTAATTGAGTTGACAAGGATTCTGCTTAATTTAAAAATATTTTAAGTGCAGCTCGGAGGTAAGTTTTGTGAGAGCATTAAAGTAGATATGGTATTTTTCAATTGAAATGTTTTGATTGAGGCCCCCAACGAGTAAGCTCTATATGATACCTAGTGTTGAATATAGTCCTTACAAGAGTACTCAGTCTAGTCCTTACAAGAGTACTCAAGTGGCTTTCAAGAGCAAACTTTTAAGAGGCTAGGAAAGTAGATACAATATTTTCATAATAAAAAAAAACCCAAAAGAGACTTTCGAAATTGAGTCTTAAGAGGGAATGAAAACAAATAATGTATCTTTTAATTTGAAATTCCTTATTGAAGCTCCTAAAGAGTGAGATGCATAAGGTATCTAGTATTAGATATGAATTTCATTAAAATTACCTTAGAGCGATTATCATGGATGAGCCCGTTAAGGCATGCAACTAGATAAGGTTTTTGTTTAATCTAAAGATTCTTTATGATAAACTCTTGAGAGCAAGTCTTAGGAGGGCATGCAGGAATATGATCTTTTATAATCTAAAATTCCTAATAGAGCCTCCCAAACAGGGTTTTCTATAGGACATCTAGCATTGGAGAAAGTCCTTGCTAAAAATATCCAAGAAAGACTATCAAGAGCAAACTTTAAGAGGTTGGGCAAGAATATATGATCTTTTACTAATCCAGAAGTATCTTAGAGGGACTAATAAAACTAAGCCTTTGGGGACATGAAGTAGATAGGGCGTCTTTTAATTTGAAATTCAATAGAGAAACTCCTAAAGAGTGAGCCCTAAAGGACATCTATTGTCAAATATGATATTTATTAAAATTCACCTTGGGAGACTATCAAGGGTAAGCCCAAAATGGCATGTGGATAATAACATCTTTGTCTAATCTAAAAAGTCCCCAAGATCAACTCCAAAGATAGAGCATTATGAAAATATGAAAGTAGGCATGGTCTTTTTTAATCTAAAGTCATTAGAGAGACTCCTAAAGAGTAGGCCCCTAAATGGTGTATAGTGTTGTATCTTAAAGTTCATAAAAAAAGCTCTTAATAAGGCTTCCTAAAGAGTATTAGTGATGGCTAAGATCCCAACTAAAGGTCTCCAAAAAGAAACTCCTAGAAGTATTTTTAAGATATAAAGTGAGAAGACATGGTCTCTGCTTCTGCTAAAAAGTCTTCAAGATCAATTCATACAGTTAAGTATTAGGAGAGTATAACAATAAATAATCTCACTTTTAATAATAAAAATTAAGAATGACTCATAACAGTGAGTACCAAGAAGACATAAAAGTAGATACGGTCTCTTTAAATCCAACATTCATAGAATGGCTACAAAAGAGTGAGCTTAGAGGTCATTCAATATTAAATAAGGTCTTTTAGGGTTTGTTGTCGCATGCACCCATAGGGCATTGAAGAAAAAAGGAATAAAGCAACTAACCAACTATCGAGTGCATGTTCAAATTTATTTATATTACCTGGGGTAACATCCATCCATCGAGCCAGCATAGGAATCTAACTCTGACTTAGTAGACTTTAAACATTTCTAAGTAGGAATAAATGAAAGAAACTTTGACTTTCTTAGGATTAATGTCAATTACAAAGGTAAGTGGTATGTTTAATTTCTCACAAGAGCTCCGAAAAAATTTCTTCTTCAACTTCAATTTTTAAGGTCTAGTGACAACTCTCACGTCGATAAAGTATTCCCCCATTAATTAATAAACTCACTAAATATTGCCATTTAAATTTCAAAGAATTTTCATTGCTCCACAGTTTGGATAATAATGAATACATGTTTGAAGGTACCGATTATTTACGCCAAGTAACTCTACAATTATATCATTGCATGATTTTTGGACTTTAAAGAAACTTCAATTAAATAATTGAATAAAAAAATAAAAAGAAATTAAATAATTCAATGATCAAGATATTCATAAAATTCTAGGGGAGATACAAAGAAACTCAAGAACATTTCTTTAGTCCCAAAGAGTCTTTAGAGTCATTAGGTTTGTGATTGTAAATATTACGACACAAACTCAAGCTTCCACTAATGAAATATCTAAGCTTAAAATAAATTTAGAAAAATTTTAATAATTATAAATCTTACAAATTAAAAAAAAAATTATTCATTCATATGATT